ATGCCTCCTGTGTCAATTGATTTGCCCCTGCAGTGTCAGTCACCTTTCCTTCATAGCTCTGCCTCTAGCATGGACTGCTGGAGTCTAGTTTATACACTGGTGTACCTATGGGTGAATGCACGTCTTGTTTTCTAGTCCGTCCAAGCAATCCAATGCTGTGAATGTATTGCAGCTGAATTAGACTAGTAAAAAGCAGGTTTTGCCAGCTTTAGAAAGCAAATAAATAAAAATGGACCTGTTTGGGAAGGAAGTGCTTAGATACGTGTATACACGTTTATGCATGCTTCAGTGAGAGATCCTTGTTTTAGGATAAAAAGGACTTTGTTGTTCTTGGTTAGGAAAGAGAGTGAAAGTGGGCAGTGGATCGTAAGAGCCACTCCTGCAAAACTCTTTGCTGCTGCTGCTATGCAGTGATCCTTCCAGCTCCAATGAACAAAATAGTACTTGCCCAGCTCATTAGCACTGTTTCAGCAGGTCGGATCTCTTGAGAAGTAGGCGAAGTTTATGGAATTATGGTTTTGATCCTAATGCCATCATTCATCTTTTCAGTTCAATACTGACACAGTTGTTTTCTCAGACAGACTATCATTTCAGTAGGTATAGTGGAAAACCTGTGCTGGCTGTAGTTGACTGACACATATCTCCCCTAAAGATAATGGCAGTGCTGATATTTTTTCTTACCTTGGAAGACAAAAGCATTTACTGTGGTGTGCAAGTCCTTTTCCTTTAGTAAGCCCCATTGTTTCCTCAAGTTCACTGTGCTCGGTTCTTTTTTTTTGTTTCACCAGTGGTGGGCAGGAGGGATGAGACACCACCCACAAATGGTAAAGAGAGAATATCTTGTTATTAAAGGGCTAAATGAGATTTAGAAAATCTTTCTTTGCTATGGGTGTAGACTTCATGTAACTGTGGGTGAGTTGCTTAATCTTCCTTGTATACACTGTTCCTCGTGTAAAGGGGGAATATTTCAAAGGACTGCTGTGATATGTTCATTGATGTTTGTAAAGTGTGCTGTTTTGTCTATATATCAAGTAACTTTTTTCTTTCAGTTTTGACAGTGCCCAGTAGCCTTCAACATGGTTTAGACCCACACAGTGCCTATAATGAGAGGTCCTGGTGAACAATAGAGGAGTAAAATTACTATGATCAGTCTGCAAAGAGCTGCAGCCATCTAACATCAGATACTTAGATGTCAGATTGAAATAGGTCTTTGGTAACTGAAATGCCTCTTATTGTCATTAATTTGTTTGTGAGTGAGGATTTTTATGACCTCGGTTTATGTGTAAGTAACATGGAAATGAATTCTGCAGTTAATTCAAGTCCAAAATAGTTTGGGATTTTCTTTTCCAGATTCATGTAGTGGATGGATAGTCTATGAAAATCCCTTCTATGGTTAGTAATGTTGCATACTATCTGCAGCTTGGCAGTGGAGTACATCAAGGGTTATTTTTTTAATTATAGAGTTTTGAAATGATGGTTGTATATTGCCTCAAAGAAAGGAAGGATGCTTGGTCAACTTCAGACACTTCTCAGCTTTTCTATCTGTGACTGTCATTTTAACAAAGAAAATAATTTCATGGAAGGGTAGTTCAGATGCATGTTCTGTGTAATTTGCAAGTGTGGGCTCTTGCATGTAGTTACAGCTGACAGTACAGTCAACGGAGGGAAAAGTCTCTTATCAACAGTACCCTGCTCCTGAGAGCATTTCTTCTGTTCTCCATGATTTATGAGATCATGACGTGAAAGGTTTTTTGTGGCATTCAGCTGGTCATGATGGAGTGCAAACCAATTTGAAATTTAAAATGGCTGGATGAACTTTACTATGCAAAAATTAAACTTGTAATCAAATTTGCCGGTCAAACAAAGAGAAATGTTTAATTTAAACAAGAGAGGTTTTCGTGTCAGTACCTAGCGCAGGAAAGGTTTTGCTGACATATCCCAGTCAAATAGTCTGGGGTTTTTGGATATGCATTAGGAAAACTATCATAAATACTACTGCCTTTCTCATGATCGGTGTCTGTGTAGAACGTGGATCATGCTTGCTCTTGGAAAATACCCACGTATATTAAACTGAGGCAATTAAAGGTAAGCACAAAAATGCCTGGAAAACTTGAGAAGGATACTTCCAGTAACATCTTATGTTCAGATGGATTAGCAAAAGGGAAGCTGTTGTTATTCCATGGTTTTTAGAGTCATTTGTGTCTTACCAGGCAGCTGACAAAAATAATTTACATTCAGTGCACACTTTGCTTCTCATATGTAGAAGTTAATTACAAGAATAGTTTAGTCTATTAATTTTCATTCTGGAATCTTACTCCCTATCCCCCTATGTAAGTGGAGCTTTCGGTCTGATTTTTCTCTTTACCTCCCCCCCACCACGTTCTCAACAATAGATTACAGTCAAGATGTTTCAGATCTTGCAGTCCTCCCATTTGTTCCACTGGTCAAGATCACAATAAAAATAATCTAAACTCCTGAAGACTTTTACTTCCTGTCCGTATGCATTGTAACATGATGTTTATTGCAGTGCAGTGGAAATGCTTCCTACAATGGTAGAGAAAAACAGCTCGTGTTTTAGGAACCATGCTACCTAAATATCATCTCTGGCTTTGTATCTTAATGAAGCAGGTTGCCTATATCCTTTCACAGTGTGCACTGTCCTACATCATCTTGTTTCTGCTGCTCTTTTACATGGGGACTTTATGCTTCTGAAACAGTGTCCCAGGCAGCTTGAATAGCCTCACTGTCTTCACCTGCCATTGATGCTTTTCTACCTTATACCTACCTTTCCCCCTACAGCTCCTCCTTTCCAGTTAGTTATCCCTGTATCTTGTTTTAGCTTGCAAGCACTTTTGGGTCATAGTGTAAAATGTACGGGAATATAAAATGTTTTACAATAGTAATTATGCTGGTGTGTTTCCCAGCAAATGTCAAGCACAGACAGACTTGCTCTCGTAAACCTGGCAGCATATAGAGAAGGTGAGTGGAATTTGCATCACAGTAGGTTGTTCTCAGTAAGCCAAACAGTTCACCTTCAAAAGTGCTACAGGCAAGCTTTGGGTTATGTGATTTAATAGAGAAGATACCAAAGGGACTTCAGAAGGAAGGGTTAAGTTTTATGTGCAATAAAACTGAAATCAGAGGTAGACCTAGTGAATCAAATCCCTCTGATCTGAGGAATAGAAGGAGAAATTATATTCCAAAAGGTGGAGAATTTACAGAGTTAAGTCTGCTGTTTGGGCTCAGAAGGTAATTTCATTAAGGCGACTGAGATACAAAAGTCCTCCTTTGTTTCCTTGAACGAGATCTTATGTTTAGCTGGTACCTGAGGCAGGTACTCTCTCTGCCTTCATCTTCCTCTTCAAAAGTTTACTTGTTCATGTTGTGTTTGGTACCGTTTGCTGTCATGATTAAAAAAAAAATAAATAAACATCTCTATGAGAAGACTTTTTCCTAGGAGCTGTATCTCCTTTCCTTCTCTGGTCATTCTTCCATCTGTGCTCTCTGAAGGGATAGCAGATTGTGTTGGGCTAAGGATATTGTCCTTGTACCAGCCAGGGAAAGGAAGGTGCTTTCACTAGGTTTTTAATAGCAGCAGTTCAAGATAAGGGTAGCCCTTGGGTACTGGTTTTTCTTCTTTCTACATTATATTTTAGCCCTCCTGTACCCATTTCCCCATATTATTAATCTTTGTGTTCTGTTGATCTTTTAGCATGTATCACTCTTTCTTTCCTCTCCAATCATATGTAGTAAAAGAAAGGTTTTGGGTGAATCTGTATTATTACAGCAGCATGTATTGTTGCACTGCAAAAACAATAAAGGTGTTTTTTCTTCTGTAAGAGAAGGGAAAACAGGCTTATTCTGGAGGCCAGTATTGCTCTAGGGCTTCATTTAATTGTTGCCCAGCTGAATTCATATAATGTATGTACTCAGCATCTCACAGGTGCAGTGTATTTGTTTTAAACTTCATACAGCCTGATGAGGGAAAGGGAACAAATAGTGTGGTGTGAATCTGTGAGGAAAGGCAAGCAGCATACATCATTTGTGTTTTGGCTTGTGGTTTTGCAGGAAGTATTTTGGGTGGATTTGGATTCATTTTTGCTACAGTGATTTACTGTTGGAGCAGAGGAAGAAATAGCCTCCAGAGTGTTGATGATCTTTGCCTGGGGGGAGCAGTGCAGAAGCATAATGGAATTTCCTGTGAGAGGTGCCTGAGTATTACAGTAAACATGAGTGTTTGTGGAAACAAAAGAGTAAGGAAGAAGGGCACAGTAAGTGGTTAGGCTATGTGGATAGAAGTAAAGTTATTAATGTCTGTAGAACTCTGATGAGAAATTTTAGATTCAATCTAGAGCAAGAGAAAAACAATTGAAAACTTGAAGTAAAGGGTTATATGGTCAGAGTGCCTTGAGGGGAAAGGATTACACTAACAGCTGTGTTTTGTGTAGTGTGGAAGGATTGTTGGTGTCTGTAATGTTACAGAAGTGTGGTTGTAGAAGTAGGGAGCTGAGAGAAGACTAGAGTAACTTCAGGATAATAGTGGGAGAAGATGAGTAAGATTTTTAGAGGAGGAGGATGCAGTGTCAAAGGTGTGTGCTGTTTGCTTGGTTGTCGTTTGTTTTTCTTTTTTCATTGTGGTTAATGGATAGTCGGGAGTGTCAGCATAAAGGTAATCTCCTGATAACAACTTTTTCTGACACAGTGGATAGCATTAACAAGGTGAGGAGATTTATCTCTCTCCTGGCAGGTTACCTTTACCAGCTTGCTCAGCTCAGCTTTTTGCTGGTCAAGCTCTGGTAGTGTCACAAACTGACCATGGATATAACCAACTTCAGGCAGAAACTATTTTAGTCTGTTGATACCTTGTTAAGAAGCAAGATGTACTCCCTGTCATGAGCTGATACTGAATTAACAGAATGACATTCCTGTTACAGTAGAAATAAAATTTGTTTTCGTCATAAGTTTCTGCATCCTGATATGAATGTATTTATTTTTGCCAGGGTGGAGTGAAAAGCAGATTCACAAAGAACCAGCACTGACAATTGAAAGGTACGAATCTCTGCCCCTGAACTTGAGTTTACTAACCTGTATTTTTTTCTCACCCCAGGTGTGGGGTGGTAACTTTATCTAATTCACACTAGCTTTAACTGTATCCCCCTTAAAAATTCTGAGTCTATTTCACATCCCCAGTTAGTCTTTGATCTCCTTTTCCTGAGGTTGCTAACTAGAGTGCCAAGATAAGAATCTGCTGAAAGTTTCCAGGGAAGCCATAGACATGATCACCTGCCCACCAAAACTTTTCTCAGCAAATGGATTTTAAATTATATGCTTTTAGAGCAAGAAGTCTCTTTGAGAAGAGTGGGGTTTTGGTTGTTTGGTTTCAGTTGGGTTGGGTTTTCCCCCCTCTGTTCTTCCTTTGTTGCCCTGTTTGATTTGAAGCTCCCTTGGCCAGTATGATTTGCTTCTGCATTAATTTGGTATTTGTGAATCTGCTTGTGGTTCTGTAAGATGCTGCAGGTACATATCAGCCTGAACTGCTGTGGAATGAAATCACATCAATGTAGTCTTTGGTGAAGTTCTTTTGGTATTGCTCACTGATGAAATTTAGCAACAAGGGTTGAACAAAAATGTTCTTTCCTAGTTTATGGCAGGATTATTGTAAGGCTAATAGAAGAAGCAAAAGTACAATTTAGTGAGATTACAGGCAGTCAATGAAATTTATCATCAGGTCATCAACAATACCTTACTATATATTGATTCAATATATAGAAAATGTGAGTTACTTATTGATGGTATATTGAGCTGGGAAATCGCTCTTCTGCATACATCAAGCAAAGATGGCTACATATACAAAGGACAGGAGCTGTGACCTGTCAGCCATGCTCAAATCTCTACCATGAAGCTGGAAATAATACCTAGCCTGATCAGCTGAATCAATAGGGTTGTAGCTATGGAAAATATTATACATGATAATACGTGATACATAATTTAAGCTATTTTCATGGATTTTCACAGGTTCATTTGCTAGATTCAGGAACCTTTTGTTTTATGGTAATCCCCCCCCCCCCCCAGTTTATCAGTAGACATTAAGGGAACAGATTAAAACTGTAATTGCAACTTTGAAATATTTCTGTAGGTGTCATGTCGCATCTGTCCTGTCTGTGCCTCCTTTCCCCCAAAGCTAAGGCAAGATCTACAGAGGCAGATTCACCACCTACCTCACACTGCTTTTCATTGTTACCACCAGCCGATTTTGCTAGATGAAGAATCAGAATTGGTACCAGACTTCCAGCATGTGGGAAACCAGATCACCAGCTATAGTTGGTGTGTGTTGAGCAATTTGAGGATTGGGAAAGCTGAGTTAACTGATTTCACACCTCTTGTTTGAAAAAGGAAATCCTATGCTGTGTCCTGAATAATAGAAGAATATTCAAATTTTGAATGTGAACCAGTTTGCTTGTAATAGTCATGATGCTTAAACTGGTAATGTATTGCTGGTTTTCAGTATAGTAGAAGTGCCTCTATCATGTGCCTAATTCTGCAACCTTAATATACGTTGCATCAATTAGATGCCTGTCTCATGCACAAACCTGAGCATATGCAAAATAACATGTAATTATTTTGTTATCCTATTAAAATCCACAGACCTACTTATTAGGGAAAATAAGTAAAAAGTAAAAGTTCAAGGACTTACTACTAAATTATTCATTGATATGATATTTTAACATTTTTAAAAACTTGATTTGGGATTTCACACATGTAAGTATAGCCACAGACAATGTAATTTATTTTCCTTTAATGTACCTTTACAGGATTGGGCATTGGAAGCCATCCAGTGCTTCAAGATAGTCCATTGTTGTGGACTGCTTGACTACTAAATTGACCAGAAGTACTCTCTTTGTGCTAGCTGTCATACTCATTTTTGTTGCTGTATTGGCTAGTCATTTATTGCAGTTTGTTATTAGCACCCCTTAAAAGACAGCACACTTGAAATGGTTTACCTTAGTATCTCTGTGCAGAAAGCCGTTTAAGAGGCAGAGACATAGAGAAATGGAATGGAATAGAATTGGGCCTAAAACTGCCACTGGCTGCTGGTAGCACCTGCCTCATCCCTGCTGCTTGAAAAGTGGGGGATTTGATTAAAAATTCAGAACTAGCAGAAGCCTCCTGCTCTTGCAGGTTATATGTATAAAGGGTGTCAGCATGTATTTAATAGAAAAAAAGAAATGGGGGGGGGGAAGGGGGGAGGAACCAAAACAAAAACACTACCAAAAAAAAAACCAAAACCCCCAAAAAAGACCTAACCCAACCACCATCCCCCTAACTGATGCTGACCTTTTTTATTAAAGGGTTGGTTATGCTGACTAAAGTGTTTTTCATTGTATAAGCATGAGAGAAGACCTAAAATGATAGTGAATGAACAGTTATTCTCTGTAATATAGTTCAATTAACATAGAAGCTTTTTTACTTATTCCAATTTTCATGCATTAGTAAACTTAAAAAAGCTATGTTACTCCAAGTGTACTTGCTTTAGAGTCTGAAGTATTGGATAGCTGTACTGCTAATAAGCTATTGTGTTTCCTAGAATGTTTTTGGTTGTGAAATACATATTCACATTTTCATATGTGTTTGGTTCTCAGAGTACATTACGGATTTTTTTGTGGATGTTGAACGAAATTTTTTTTGTTTGGGTTTTTTTTTGGGGGGGGGGATTTCTGTGGTTTTTTTTTTAATCTTGGGTTGTTTTTTTTAATCTTGAATCATAATCATTGCCTGATTTAATTTTTCCTTTTTTTTTTTTTTTTTGTTCCTAACACTTCAGTGCAGCAAAAAGCTTTATCAGCCTTTCACAAAATGGGAAGGATAGAAATCCTGCTTGAAGGAAAATGAGGCAAAACAACAAAAACAAAGCAAAACAACAGCCCAACAACAAACCGAAACCTCCCCTTTTCTCCCATTTTGCTGAAAGGTTTTAGAAAAGGAGGGACTAAGGAAGAGTAGAATTCTATTGCTCCAAGGTCTACAAGTTAATTCAGTGTGATCTTAAAGCAGTAACTGTTTTAAGACCTGATGAATCACTATCAGAGCTAAAAACACCTACACTGTTGCACTGAGAAGCTTGTATCCCAGACTTCAGGATGGTTTGTATCTGATTCTAGTAGATCAGGCAATACTATAGCGTAGAAAGGTGACAATCTAATTCTTATGAAGTATGTTTTCAAAAAAGCCTTTCAGAAAGAGTGCTGCAAATCTAACACCCATAGGAGAATTAAATGGAGAAAAATCAGTTGAAGCACAAATGTTGAAGCACAGCTGAAACAAGATGCAGGAGGGTGTGTGATGGTATGAAAGTTTTACTGGCAATGTCTGAGATGCCTGCATGTAAGTGAGTTGTGCAGGTCACCCCAGATGGGCTCCAGTAAAAGCTTTAATGCAAACTTGAATGCTCCTATTTATAGACATGGCTCTTTGGCTAAGTATAAACTGCTCCCAGTCATGTCTAGACTAACATCAGAGCCGTGCTGGTACTGAAAGTAGGGGTTCAGAAGTAAGAGTACAAGGCATGCTATTCTGTATGTTACTGTTTATTGCAGTGATCATCTAAAATTTGTGGGAGCAGTAAATCTTTGAATGTCATATGACATTATGTCACCCAAGACACCTTTTCTTCCTCTTGTTAAGCATAGGAAGGTATGTCTGGTGGATGTGACCCATAAGCTAAATACTCTTCAGCATGTGTTTAAAGCTTTGAGAATGTATCAGTGGGTGGATGGATAGATGGATGGATAGATCAGTGAATGACTTTCATTGCTAACTATTTTCAGCAACTGAGTTTTAATGAGTCTTTCAACTGTTGCTGCTGTGTTTAATCTGCTCACTTACTCAGTGTTCAGCATTAAAGCAGCTTTCTAGGAGGTAAATGTTGTCCTTATTACAGAAGAGCTTAGTTTGATTGTGTTGAGCACAGACCTTGTGTTAAGAGTTCTTTTGGGTTTTTTAATTGAGAAATATATGCTGTGCACACAGTTGATTAGGATGAATAAGCAATTGCTGTGCTTGGAAATGCACATCCAAATACACAGTTGCTATGTTAAGATAAGTAACTTGGACTGCATGAAGTTATAAACTCTGGTCCTGATTCTGTAGTGGTGGTCTTACTGTCACGTCCTATATTTGTGAGTTTCCCTTTTGGACTTTTGATTTCATATGTATCAACACATAGCTGAACAGAGTGAAAAGCATGACAAAAAGTGTCCACTGCTCCCTTTTCATTTAACATAAGGGTTCTTCTTTAATTTACTTGATATACTGCCTAACATATCTTGTCAAAATAAATAAGTATCAAGGCAGCTGCTCTTAAAGGTAGGGAATACTTTAAACATGTAATGTACCAATGTGAAGAAAATGTAGTGTAGCGGTATTTCTGGTAAGCATACTGAAAAAAAATATATCTAGGAGCTTTGTTCAAATGCCAGCTCTTACATCAGGCCTCTTTGTAATCTTTCTTGCTGATCTGTGACCTTGACCTTGTGTTTGTGTCTGTATGTCAAGTCTATTTTAGGAATGGACAAACTAAGTTCAGTTTAATAGGATTTATACTCCAGCTTCACAAGATGCCTCAGTAAAATAGAAAAAGTAAAATATTGAAATCAATTATTTTATTTCCAGTTATCTTTTCAGATCTTGAATATATTGACCACTTATTTGTTTTTAATTCTGTTGAGAAGATGCTTCTTAAAAAGGCATCTTTATCTCAACAATGAACTCTTCTAAATTCAGCACAGACATTCTGCCTGGAGGTGGGGTTTCCTCTGTAAGAATCTCACTGGTAGCAGTGTTTTCATTTGGCATAAGTCTGGGCTTGGTACTGAAAGTAATCCCTGCTTTTTGTCCTTCCTCGTGCCACTCTTGTAGTCACACGTAAAACGACTGTGAAACAACCTCTCAGCAGTACCTTTGGGGTTCTGATGGTGATGAGGTCCTTGGTCTGACTTGCCTTGAAGGAGCTTCCTATGGGGATGCTTGTGTCACTACTGGGAAGGTGGCAG